AACCTCAAATTGGTCAAACTGATTATAGTCTGTTTGTACGGTTAGCTAGTGAATAGTAATTATTTGACATAAAATTCTCCACATCAGAGAGAAAAACATTAGTAACCCTAACCAATCCCTAACCAAACCCTTCCTAACCTAATCCGATCGACGCGAAATCGATTAGGTGAAAATGGTCCCTCAAAAAATATGTATAAAAACATATACATTGTTATAAGATATACAACCCAACTCGTTGGGTGCCGTGGAATGAGATGTCAAACCACTTTAAAATACATTTTTCATACTATAATCCATTAAAAAACCACGGTCTCTGTCGGGATTCGAACCCAGAACAGCTAGAGTGGACGGTATAACGTCTTAACCACTAAGACATACCATTATAATCGCTGATATTTTTACAGCTTAGGAATGCAAGAAAAAGGTATATCATTTCTCCGCGTCAGGGAACATGGGATACATATTGTAACCAAATCCGTACCTAACCCAACCTTAAGCAGACCCTAAGGCAATGTCCTAACTAGGAGGTGATTGAAAGATAATCTTTAAAAGGTTTATTGTGAAGTCGATCTGTAAGGAAAAGATTTTTTTTAAATAAATAAATGCTAAGCTTCTATTGCCACTGTTATCTGTAAAATCTGAAGAATTTTTAAACAGATCAATCATCGACAATAATGGATCGTTTGTTTGTTCGACCCATGTGACCGACTATGACAGTGCTTAAAAAAATTTGCACTTTTTTATTGGAAACTACATTAAATGATAAGTTGTAAAGCCTCCTATATTAGAATAAGCCAAATGGGTTTAACAGAGTGAAAATGCGAAAACCTAATTTCGTCTCGGTATTACATTAATCCTTTTATTAGCGTCTTCTAAGCCAATTAGAGTTGGGAAGAAATTTCACTTTAATTACACTTTAATTTATTAAAAATTCCGACGGCCTTCAGTCCAATCTGTACGATTAGTATTGAGATTTTGTTCCCTACTTTTATGGAGTGACTTTATGAAGTAATTTCGCACTGGAAGAGTTGATGACTGATCCTTTCAATATCACGATGATGTTGAAAAAGCGTAAGGTTTATTTTTAAACGCTGTAGCCTCGAAATCTCAGGGTGAGAGTCAAAAGCATAATGTCAATAAAGGTAAGAGGATTTTGAAGCAGGAATCGAGCATGCAATACAAATTATGGCCCTGGAAGCGCCTCAGGAAAAAAACTATTCCAAAAACGGTGACTCCGAGACAAAAATGCAAGTTTGTTCATTTTGTTTAAACTTTTTTAATCATTATAAACAAATGAAATGACAATAATCAATTAATTTATTAAAAACACCAAGTTCCAAACCAGGTTTACTTCGTGCTTTTGTTCGTTTTCTATGGAAATCAATCCATAGGCTCCAAATAATATCATCACGATTCTCCACTAGAGAAACACTGCAGTACATTTGGCCCATATTAACAATTTTTTGATGATTTCATTCATTTAAAATATTAAAGCCAAATAAAAAGTAGATAAGTGTGATGACGGGGAGGAAGATAAAATTGATTATTCTGGAAATTAAGACAAAAATATGAAAAAAATCAGAACAAACTTGCCAAATCTATCTTTTTTTCTTTACTGTCCAAAATCCTCGAAAGACTCCTTTTAAAGCGATCCTGGATACTCATAAATTCTCTCTCCCTCTCAGCAATTCGGTCCATTTAAGATCCAACAAGGTTTTAGCGTTGGCGACATCTCCTCTGCTCTAGAGAACAAGAAGTATTGCTTGGATGCGGACCTAGAAGTATCACCTGCTTTTGATAGGGTCTGGCAACCTCTCGCGTTCTCGGAAATCAGCCAAGCCGGCGTCCCACAAGGGTACATTCGTGCTCCCATTCTCTGTATCATGTAAACTGTACACCCATCACCACCTAAGCGGACGATACCGTAATTTTTTGTCCTCAAGCTCGAATCCTAACCAAGCAACATCCATGACCTTATCGAAGACTGGTGCAAAAGTCGAGGGCAAGACTGAATGAAGGCAACACTTACCAAAAGTGTTGCTAGGCAAACAATGAAGAAAATATTCAATTCCCTACGGAGTATTTCCTCCACTTCCGTTGATCACCGCTTGCGTTAGACGTGGCATCAATTTTATCAGGTTTTATATGTAGTGCTGTTGAATATTTTCATACTCCTCCAACAGCGCCGTGAATTCTTGAGTAACCTCCGGTATCCTATGTATCGATGGGAAACTCTTCGGACGAATGTTCTGAGGATGTTAAGCACCCTGGCCACATACGCTTGACTTCTTCCATCCTCTACCAATGCTATAATTCTAACCGAATCTGTACCACTTAAACCCAACACTCAAGTAAATTTGAAACTTAAAAACGTTACAACTTAAAAAAATCAAACCACCAGAACATAAGAAAGAAGCTTTACGGAAAAACCAGCAATGAAGATATTTGACTATTCAAAGATTTATTTACAAAATCCAATTATAAACATAAGTGGGAGATTTTATCTGTGTTTTATTTACCTCTAATCCTTTAAAACGGACCAAATATTGTTATAAGATTATCATTGGAGGATTGTTTAAGAGATAATTAAAAATATTAAGGGTGGCCACTTTTTTTGCCTCTCAGTACAGTTAGGACTATATCTAGACAGCAGACGTGGGATCCACACACAAGACTTAACAGCCAACAACTTAGCAGGACTTTGTTAACTTCGAAGAACTTTAGGACCGAAATTCGTGTTGACCGTCCACACTAAACTAGCCTTACACAAGACTAGTGTGACCACTTTAGACATATGGAGTTGTGGTGTTCTGCCAAGCCATCCAACATCCAGCATCCAATCCTTACAATCAAAAGTCTTCAGACAAATTGTCAAAGCTCCTTACTACCTCACTAACCCCTCACTATCCACAACGATCTCATCATTCCTTCTGTCAACGAACTGATCCGTTCCCGATTTCCTACTGCTCGAGCCCCCTCTACCATTCCCATACCTAGAACCTGCCGTCGATGGCCTCGAGACCTTGCACCTTAATCCTTCGCGCTGCGTGCCGGCATAGGCAGGCTTCTAATGGCGCGTCCTCCGGCTGCAGGCGCTGGCACTAGTGCTAGTGCTGTGAGCGTGCGAAAAAACGTGCGTTGTAATTTCACAGGGGTCGGTGGTCGCAACGGTTTAGGCATTGACACGGCGCTCATCACCGTAAAGGTCCCGATTTCGCATCCAACGGCCCTGCATTCGAACCCGACATATTTACAAACGGGCCTTATTTTCAATTACACCGGCACCCTGAGGGTTTATATGACCTCTGCTGTTGCGAACCCTCGATAAATAAATAGATAATATGTACATGCTCGAAATATTCTGTCAACAAATCACATTCGGCTATCGATCTGACCTCCGTTTCTAGAAGGCACTTTGGCCATGGTATCGACCAGAACAATTTGAATCTACCGATGTATAAGTTGCATGTATTTTATATTTTCAGTGTGTCACGAATATACTTAACAACATACTAAAAAATAAAATGATCCCACTCTAAGCACAATTAAAGATGCAATAAATAATAAATACAGTAAATAAGAAAAGGACTTCTTTTTGAATTGCATCACAACTGAAAATCTAGCGAAATGGACTTCATATAGTTTATATTCCTAGTCAGGTAACCGCAAATTTTATAATTATTTATTTTTTCGTTTGTTTAATGCGGAAGTAGTTTTGGCTTATGGGAAAAATCCACCGGCAATGCTTCTTACACAACGGCCTGCAAGCTTCTCGTTTAAAGTGCCAAAATTTACTTTACAATAAATAATAATCGCTAATAATAATAACGTGAATCGCTGCCGACTTGAATACTTTTTTTTTAATTTTCTAATTTTTTCCATCCCCAGGTATTATTGAATTTGAAAATGGAATTTAAAAAACGTAATTAAAATATCATGTTAAATGAATCATTCTGCATAAATCGTATTAAAACAATTTTCCATAACAGCATAAACAGCAGATCAAAGATGACAGTTAATGGTTACAAGAAGATCCAGTTTGAGTCAGCAATTGATTCATCCTTGAGGTCAACCTCCCATCCTATCAAATCAACGGTGGTAACACATTCCAACATGTTCTTCCGGTTGTTTTCTTCCTGTCATGGATAGGTTCATTGAGACAAATGGAACGAGCCACGTGTCATTTGACGCTTTGGAAAAAGTTCCAGCCTCTTCGTTTTTTATGGGTGGACGTTTCGAAAATCGGTTATTCCAGCCGGAAATTTGATCCTTCATCGGCTCCAATGAGATATTTAAGCGTTTGACCTTTCAGAAGCCGGTTGCAGACCGTTTGTTCGACTGGACTTAAAGGGTTACATCAGAGAGCCGGCATTGCGTCACTTCATTCTGTGAAAGTTCCATCTTTCAGGAGCGAGCACATTCTCGTCCCACTTTTACATGCTAACTTCACAATCTTTAACTTGAACGAATTTTCCTCCTTTCAAACTGAATTGAACGGCTGAAATGCGCCCGTCCGCTCACCTGAGCCAACGTGCTTTCCATTGCCCCAGAGAGGTTTGTAAATGATTCTGAATGTGGACAAAACAGGTTGGTCAGCTTTCTCAATTCAAAACCAAGCACATCCTTTGCAATAGCCATTTTTTTCCTTCAAGTTATTGAGAAAAAAACAAGTATGAACTATCTATTTCGGTTTCGTAAAATAATCAAGAATTTATTTCCTATCACTACTGCATTCTTTCATTAATTAAAGTAGTTTCACCAACAGAAATTTCGTAATTAAAAACGTAATAAAAATTGTTTCACCGCAGAGAAAAGCTTTCAGGGCTTAACCAAGTTTCCGCACGTTTACCGATTTGCATATCGCGTAAGAAAATAATTTTAATCTGTTTACTTCATGGCCTGTGCAGTCAATTGGATTATTTAAGCAATCCGCATACCGTCAGACCGAAATAACAACCGAGTTACAAAAAAAAAGGTAACAGTAATAATCAGTGTCCTACCTTGATATGAAGACGTTGAAGTTTCTTGAAGTTTAAATGTGAACGGGATGTGCACCTTCATCATTTTCATTTGCGGTATGCGCTGCTGGACATTGTGGACACCGCCGCTCCCGAACATGATGTCTTCTCCGTGAAGCCAGAATATCGTCATATGTCTTGAAAACCAAAAGCAAAAACATTTGTCGTTAGAATTCGTAAGTTGAAAGCTGCCAGGTGGAAAAAAGGTTGAATAAAATGGATGCGGCTAACGCTCACGATATTAATATCATACATGATTAAATTTATCGTTCCTTTATATGTTTATGATAGCCATTATTACTTGCATTACAGGCTAAAAATTAACACATACTAGTCTGGTCGTTCCCGGTTATTTTGCAAGTTCAATTCGAATTTAGCCTAGGAACAAGTTCGATTTGATTAGGAAAAATGTCAATTGTTTGGAAAAAATGTTTAATTCGGCTTGAGATTAGTTTAAATTTTGATTGGACCAAGTGAAAATTGGCATGGGAAAAAGTTTAATTTGATTCGAAAAATGTTCAAAAAGTTCAATTTGTTTTGAAAAATATGTAATTCGGCTTGAGAATAGTTTTAATTTTGATTGGAAGAAGTACAATTTTGGCTTGGAAAAAGTTCAATTTGATTACCAAAAAGGTCGTTTGTTTGGAAAAAATGTGTAATTCGGCTTGAAATTAGTTTAAATTTTGATTGTACAAAGTGAAAATTGGCATAGGAAGAAGTTTAATTTGATTCGAAAAATGTTCAAAAAGTTCAATTTCTTTCGAAAAATATGTAATTCGGCTTGAGAATAGTTTTAATTTTGATTGGAAGAAGTACAATTTTGGCTTGGAAAAAGTTCAATTTGATTACCAAAAGGGTCAATTTTGTTTGATAAAAGTTCAACAAAGAAAAATATGTAATTCGGCATGAGAATAGGTTTAATTTTATTTGGAAAAAGTACAATTTGGTTTGGAAAAAGTTCGATTTGATTACCGAAAAGGTCAAGTTTGATTGGAAAAAATGTGTAATTCGGCTTGAAATTAGTTTAAATTTTGATTGTACAAAGTGAAAATTTGCATAGGACGAAATTTAATTTGATTCGAAAAATATTCAAAAAGTTCAATTTGTTTTGAAAAATATGTAATTCGGCTTGAGATTAGTTTTAATTTTGATTGGAAGAAGTGCAATTTGGCATGGAAAAAGTTCAGTTTAGCATGGAAAAAGCTTTAAAATGACTTGGAAAAAGTTCAATTTGATTGGGTTAAAGGAACATTTTGTCTCGTTATCAATTTTGTTTGGAAAAAGCTCGATTTGGAAATTTCAATTTGGTTGGGAAAACGTGGATTCAGCATGGGAAAAGTTCAATGTGTCTTTGAAAGAGAGTTAGTTGGAAACAGGTTCTGCTTGGTCTGGGAAAATTAAAATTCTGTTTAGAAAAAGTTCAATTTAAGGTATACAAGGCTTAATTTGTTTTGGAAAAACGAAATTTGTTTTGGAAAAAGTTCTATGATTTGAAAAATGTTCTCCTTGGTTTCAATTTAGGTGGATTTGGTTTGGAAAAACTATAGTTCGGCATGGGGAAAAATTCAATTTTGTTGAGAAAAAGATCAATTTGGTAAGAAAAAAGTCCAATTTGATTTGACTAAAGTTCAATTAGGTTTGAAAAAAGCTTTAGTTTGGAGCGGAAGTAGTTGAAATTTGTCTGAAAAAAGTTGCCTTGGGAAGAAGTTGAATTTGATTACCAAAAAGGTCATTTTTGTTTGAAAAAAGTTCAATTCGATTTGACAAAAGTTCAATTTAGCTTAAGAATAGTTTTAATGTAGATTGGAACAAGTGCAATTTTTCTTGGGAAGAAGCTTTATCTTATTATACTTAATAAAATTAGAAGAAATTGGCAAATTTCATTTGATATGCTAAAACTGATTTAAGAGGTTTAAGTGATGATCGAATCCCTTTCTTAATTTAGTATGCAAATACAGAATAAAAAAGGTAAATTTCTGTTCAAACACGAGGTATATTGCAGGTAAGTCCTTTGGCTAATGCACCAAAATACATTCTACCCCGTGGCCACTTATATAACGTTTTCATATTGCACAAGAAGGCTTTCTATATTTGCATTCTATCTACAGGTTCTACTATCTACAATCCCATTATGTTTACATAGTTTGCAGATTACACGGACCGAGCTTTCCTATACATTTTACATCGGCCCGCCTATGACCACTTATCTCGGAAAATTAGTTTAGCTAGGGGAGGCACTTTCCAAATCGATTACGACGAACTACCGTAATTAAAGACGAGGGAAGGGTGGAAGTTTTAAGAAATATAAACTCAAGGGAAAATATCACTTTTTACACCTTTCTATTTTATTTTAAATTTTAAAACAGTTGGCGATATTTGTGGGTCAGCAAATGGGTAGTAGACTCATGTTAAACCCTTTCTTGCCCAATTGACTCAGGGCAACACCAAATTTAGCAAATTGACTAAAGCTTAGCTAATCCCATGAGTTTAGGCGGGTACAACTGTTTTCCTTCAATGTTTCATCCGTGTTGGCAACACTGATTTTTTTGGCGCTAATCTAAAATCTCCATCTTGAAATCTTCTATCTCCAACATGGCTCTCCCCCCTCTGCATCTTGTATCGATTGTTATATTTGCCAAACATTATTATTATTTTTTTTTTACATGCAGTTCATAATTTAATCCTTCCTAAAGTTGCTTCAGGGCAATTAGTAGTTTTGTTTAATGTTAGTAGAAAATCAGGAAAGCAGAAGTTTAGGACGGGCGCAGTGGTGCTCCTGCTCTGTTTCTGTCCGTATATTGGCAACACTGATTTATTTGGCGCCAATCTAAACTCTCTATCACCAAACTCATAGGATTTCCCGCTAACCTTTAAACATAATTGCTAAAGGTCGTCTTGTTCTGACAAAACATTAGGCCATAAAGATCAACAATGATTAGTTTCCTGGGTCCGTCCATTCTCGCCTGAAGCCGAAACGCGTAAGAGACACTAAGTAAAAAAAAAGTAGTAATCAGTTCAACAAATGTAAAACTTGCCTATTCGTTCTGATTGTGAATATGAATATGTTAATTTAAAGTACACGAGTTCTACATTCCCACCCTATTATTATCTTACATGGAAGCAAACAATCGTCAATGACTTTAATTTCTCTCATTAATAATACTTCCTAATTTTTTCTATCGCGATAATTTCAGGCGACTGTTCAATATTGGGTAGGAATTGATGGAATGTACACCCATACAATATTATCAGAAGAGAGAAAATTGAACTATTGTCAGCAGTTCGATCGAAACTGATCACCTCTGGTCTGCTCATTGTAGGCCTTAATCCGAAGTCAAAGGGTTTTCTGTTGAGAGCAGTTTTGCTGTTTATCCCTTACCAATTGATGAAATAATCCACAAATATATTTTAAGGATAGTTTAATTTTTATCTCTTTCTTTCTTCGTTCTTGTTAATTTATTATTCAATGATTAATTTATAGTATTTTCCATGAAATACCACAATGTTCTAATAGACCATTACACTATGTAAAGATTTTATTCTTTACAGCTTCTTTACAGCCCGAATGGATGGGCGATTCAGGTTTAAAAACTGGCAAATTGGCATGGTATCTCAAAAAAGGTTAAAAGAATATATTAAGCCATATAAAATTAATGACGGGGTTTCTAATTACGCTGCACGCCTTATTCGGAATGTCCAAACGAATTTCATAAGAGGGAGACAAACAAGATTGTGGGTCAAGACGTCGTGTCGTGACGAATTTTACATCTTTTACAAAACGAACTTTAGCAATTTTGTTAAAAGGTTAACAGGAAATCACGTGAGTTTAATAATAGTTTAGATTGGCGCCAAATAAATCAGTGTTACCAATACACGGGCACAAAGCAGGAACAACACTGCGCCCGCCCTAAATTCACGGGATTTCATGCCAATCTTTGATAAAATTGTTAAAGTTGGCATTGGTGTACACCAACTTTGAACAATTAAGAGTTACATTATACTGGATATGAAAAATTTTATGTTTCGGCTAATATAACACAATCGGTAAAGATGCAATGGTGGAGTGAAGAGCCATGTTGGATTTAGAAGATTCCAAGATGAAGATTGGCCCCAAATAAGTCAGTGTTGCCAATACACGGGCAGATACAGTGCAATACTATTACAGTCCTTCTCAATGTTAGGACTCAGTCGGTTTTCAAGGAAATTTGAGACCATCTCTAAAAAACTAAAATATGTCAATCCGTAGACATATTTAAGATTGTTTTGCCCTGATGATGAACATAGGTCGAAAGCTTGGCAGTAACAACTCGAACTGCTTTTTTTCTTCAAGACCATACCTTGATCCAGAGTGTTAGTGAGAAACAGAGCAAGAAAAACACTAGCACCCGCCTTAAACTCATGTGCTTAGCTAAGCTTCAGAAAATTGATTAAAAAAAGGTAAACAAAATGAGAAGTGGATAAACTTAAGGACGCAGCGCCTTCACAAAGACTGGTATACTCACTGCTACAGTTAGAGAGGGCTTAACTCTGAAGAGTGATGTGCCGCTCACTGCCATTTAAGAAAACATGTACATAGCTTAATAATATTCAACGATGACCCCTTTAGGTTATGAGGATGAAGAAATACCCACACATATTATCTTCGAATACGGACAGCTCAATGGAGACATAACTGGGATGCAAAGAAAATCTAGGGCAAGGCATAGTATCAGTGACTGTCAGTGACCTAGTACTCCTTAGAAAAGGATCGAGTCGATTGCACTGAACTAAGGAGCTAGGAAAATACAAGAAGGCTGTAGTGCTAGGAGTACAAAATACCCCGACATCCATATTCATCATCATCATCATTTTCTCTCTTTTATATATATATATATATAAATCTAACAATGACAAGACATAAACATCATGGTTTTGCTATGTTAGTAAAGTGTCCAATGTCGCGTTTTGACATAGTTGTAAACGTCGAATGACATTGCCAATTTCACCTGGTTCCTACGTGCTAATTACGTTCTAATTGTCTTAAGTTCCTCCGAACGTATGTCTCAACAGGTCTCAACGGTACCCCCAGACACACATACACACAAAATGTGTTCACGAAAGTGAGAACAACAATCAAAACAGATTGACAATAGGGCGAATCTGTATT